TATAAGCCACTATTTTGTTCTCATTGTCTTCCTATAAATGAATTAATTTTCATTCTTTGTTAAACCTCTCATCAAAATAGTCGGTCAGATAATTTTGACAGAATCAATCCATGTATAATTCCGTATCTACAAAAATCTCAATCAAGTCTAAAATGTTCTTAGATCCAGTTTTTTAAAAAGATTTCATCTGACTGACAGATATAAGTCATAATGTTTCTAATCAATTTTTATTTCATTTATTTAGTTATGGAATTGTTTTCATTAACAACGAATATAACAGTAACAGACATAAAATGGCAAGCATATCCAATTGGCTTTTTCCTATTACTGTTATGTCTGTTCACTATAATAGGTAATCTATGTACTTTGTATGTTATAATTTGCAAATGTACATTACATAAATCTAAATATTACTATATTGCATCATTGGCATTTGCTGATCTCTTAGTCGGATTAATTGGAATGCCGCTCGCATTTATATTTGAAATGACGGATGATGAGTACTGGTTGTTCGCACAACATCTTGGCTTTTTATGCGATCTTTTCTATTTCTCGGATACATTCGCAACAACAGCATCAATACTTGGACTGTCTGCTATTGGAATAGATCGATACATGGCTATTACAAGGCCAATGGAATATTCAAATTCATTCATATCAAAAAGATGGTATTATGTGTTGTCATTTATATGGATATGTTCAGCTGTTATATCAGTTCCGCCAGTAATTTTTATTGGAAGAGAACAAGTATCTACTCGTACGTAAAAAAGAGAATGTTTTTTTTCTGTATTTAATACTGAGATTATTGTGCATTTATCTCATTAGTCTTTGCATTATCTAAGTCTCCATATGCATCAATGAAACACAAACAAATCTTGGACAATTTGTACCAATAAACTTTAATGCTACAAGTAGTCTGAAAATTTTTCTCGAATATGAGTGTGTATAAATGGTAAAGATTAAATTTCTTGCCTAGAATTGTATAATTGCTAGATAATTGAGATGGGTAATTTGTATTTCTCATCTATATTATAGTATCGAGTGTCCGTCTAGTCTCGTTAAGTGAACAAGTACCTATCGCAGCAACGAATCATCGTAGAGACTTGATATTTATCTCTTAGAAAGACTAAAATGTCTACTACAAGACTGTGTAAAAATATTCGATTTCAAAATGTTTATGAAAGATCCGGAAGCCTTATGAATAAGTTGCACTGAAAAAGTACATTTCAACTTCTTGAATTTACAAAAAAAATTCTATCCACTCAGAAATTTGGTGTTATTTTTTGACAATCTATCACATTTTTTAATGCTACGATCGAGTATCGTAACCATACAAAAATAAATTTTTCAAATGATCGGTTGAGTCCAAAATCAAGATTTTTCTTGACATTCTCTGTTTGTAAAACGTTTTCGTGCTGAATAAATGTCTTCGAAAAAACAAGACTTCTTCCAACATCCAAGTTAATAGAAATCATCTTGTTTATATGCAATTAATATTTATTAAGTCTTCTAACAAAACACATTACATCAAACAGAATACAGTTTTCTTTGTTAGATACTTTGAGAAAAACTGCATGGAAGGTTATAGATAGAAAGTCAAGTTTTTAATAAACATGTTTTTTTTTCTAAAGTCTGAAGTTTCATCACCAGAATAATTTGGTGTGATTAGGAAGCTCGCTTCACATTGGCCAGACCTACATAAACATTATTCTTAATTTGACTGAAGTCGAAAGAAATTTTTTCAGTACAACTTGTTCGTAAGACTCTTTAGTCTTTGGTAAACATCTTGAATCAAATATTTTTATACAATCTTGTAGTAGATTATTTTGCTTCTTCTAACAAAGATCAAGTCTGTATGATGATTTGTTCCTACAACATATTGAAAAGAAAATGAATGCAGAACTTTCGTCTCAACTGTTACAAGAGGTTGGCGCTACAGTTTATGTTTTTATCGAGACCATATCATTAAAGTTTTATTGTTGTATCAGATTTAGAACAATCAGATATATCAAACGCGACAATAATTAATCCGTTGTTACCATTAGACGAATGTGAGGCTCCAAACCATCCTTATTATATATTATTCGTATCCATTGCATCATTTTATCTACCTTTAATCATTATGATTTACGTCTATATTCAAATGTATTCGGCAGCTAAAAAACAAGCTCTAGCACTTCGTTCTGGCTACAAGTGTCAGTATTTGATGCAATCTAAAAAGTCATCTACTATGAAAATTCCTTTGAGATCAATGTTCTGTGGAAGAAGATTCCGAATTAAAAAAGGAGCAGAAATCTTGGATGACAATGCACATGAAAAATCAAAGATGTTATTACAGAAGCGTAGACCGTCACATGAATTAGTAACTCTTCGTATTCATCATGGTACATATAAAAATCCAAATATAGAAGAGTTCAATCAGAATAACGAACATAACAAGAAATCTTTGAATAAATTTTTAAGAAGACATGAACAAACAAAAAAGTTTTGGCAAAAAAGTTCGAAAAATCAAAAAGCGGAAAAATTCGTCGGTATTATTATGGGTATATTTATTGTTTGTTGGTTACCATTTCATGTTTATTTTCTATTGAGTGGTGTTTTTGATTTGCATTCAAAAGATGAAGAAAATCATGAATTATTATTTCATATATTTTTATGGTTAGGATATACAAATTCTGCATTGGATGTTCTTATTTATTCCTTGGCTTCCAACGAACTAAGAACTATATTCATGAAATTATTTTGTAGGATATGTCATTCGACATAAATAAAATAAATTATCATTCTATGTAGATGTTATATAAATAGACGATTTCTAATAATAAGTATACGACATCTTTTAATGATCTCTTTTTGATAATTCGACTTAAATGATGTTTATTCAAAATTTCGACAATTTGCATAAGAAAAAATGTTACTTATTTTACTTTCAATCGAACTAAGTCCAAATGTTGGAAAATTAACTGATATATCAAGTATTTTCTGAATACCATATCTTTATTCATACGAATAGGAATAAGAAAGCATCATAATCCATAGTTGTCGATCAATGGAGTAGAAATCCTCTCGACTTAGTCGATAAAAGTCAATTTTAGCTTTGATCATTCTCGATTCAACTTGTTTCTTTTGTTGTTAAGTCTAAACAGGTGGGTGTGGATGTTAGTGGGTGAAAACAAGTTGAACACTCACAGCTACACCCACCACCCTTAAACGAGCACCTCTTTTTACTCACATGAACAAATATCAAACATTTATTAACCCTTTACAGCCGGATGTATCCATTTGGATACATGAAGCCAATGTTTTACGAAGAAGTAACTTGTAGTGATGATATGAAATGTTTTGACGATTTGATAAATAAGTTAACACATTTCAACACACATTCACGTGTTTAGAAGAAGGAAATAACACTCACTAAGAAAATGGCCGGCTCTATCCAAAATAGCGTCCGTATAGAAATAATCCTTTTCTCGTATCTCTAAATAATCAAACTTCGAAGCAAGCAGTTGTTAATTTTTCTTCATAGACCTACTGTCTATTGGATCACTAAGACGGATTATTTAAAAAATCCGAATAATAAAAAATGGGAATGTATCCATTTGGATACATGAAGTCATTAGATGCCGAAGCATTTATTGATTCTGAGAAATAAACTTTTCCTATCTCCATGGTCTAGGAGCAACGAAAATCCATAAAAAGACTTTTTTGTTACTTGTCTTCTAGTAGCCGGCTGGGAAGGGTTAATATTAAATTCGCTTCTTTGTCCGCATCTCTTTTCTTTTCTTTCGACGACTATGTCAGTTGAATATTTTCTCATGTATTTTAGAAAATAGGAAGTGAGTTGTCCCGTTAGTTCTATATCTTAATAATTGTGATCTTGAATAATAAGCATTGATCTACACACAATTACCATATGTTTCTAAATTACAATGAATTGTTGAGAAAGATAAATCATATATTTCAAAATGAACATTTTGACGGAAATTAGACAGATCTCTGGACTTCAATCATCATATCGCATGAGGGAGGGTTGAGTGGATTCAAATCATGAAATTTTTTTCAAAAACAGATCATTTTCTATTGTTTGGAACGGTGAAAAACGTGAAATCTCTATCTATGTGATCAATGGAAATTCTCAAAATTCTAGATCAATTCATATCATAGCAATAGCAAATTCATTCTTTAGTCATTGGATAAAATCTTTTAGATGAATAGACAGAAATCCTGGTTGATAATTTCCGTCAGAAAAAAAAAAATATTTGTTATTGATCTGTTATTTATAATAAAAACTATAAATTCACATTCATAATCGTAATTGTTAGTGTACGATCGTCGATATGATCATTATAATGTTAGAACTAGGTTAATGATAAAAGTGAATTGTTGATGATCAATTATCAAAAAAAAAAGGATAATAAATTGATTATTAAGTTTTCAAATATGATATATAGAAAAAGAGAATTAAAGTTTGAAATCTTGTTAATATAATAGTTATATCTATCGATATATGAGTTCCACACTCATCACTCAGATCTTGAATCTCAAATGGTTGGTATGGTAAATATTGATATTCAATGTTATGTCAAAATCTAAAAATATTCAAATCAAACATCAGAGTTCGCGAAAGATTATTTTTAGTCCATCAAATACGAAAACTAAATTAAATAGTGTAGACTTTCCTAAGACACACAGTCTTTCTACCATCTTTTAAGATTGAATTAAGTGAGACTCTTCACAAATTAACATATTACTTATATATTATAAAAAGTATTTAATTTAATACGATGAGAAATATTGTGACAAAAGAAGAATAACCTCTCAAATAACCTGATGAACGATTTGTCAATGAATAAAAGAGAATGTTCGACAGAAAGAAAATTGTTCTAAAACTATCAATGATAGTCTTTTGTCATAAGATGAATATTTATTCTTCATTATTCTCTCCGACACCAATGAGAAAATATGTATATATATACATATATATAAACAAGACTATTGAAATGAATGAATTAGACATGAATATATCGAATAACAATAACCTCAATATACTTGATTTGCCTAATGAAATTTTATTGATTATTTTTAACAAACTGAATAAAGTCGACGTTCTCTATTCACTTGTGGATATTACTCAACGATTTGATCAATTAGTACTTGATTCATTTTATATTCGTAATCTTAATATGACCTCTTTGACAATGAAATCATTTTACGATCGTATCTATTCAATAGACAATCAAGTTCTTGAAAGAATTTATAAAAATATTTTACCTCGAATTTATCATCAAATAAATGAACTCTTTGTTGAACAATATTCAATGGAACGTGTTCTTCATACTATAAATTATCCTCAACTTTACTCATTAACACTTATGGATTTTTCAGAAGAAGTACTTTTCAATCACTTAACAAGTAAACTAATTTAACTTTTAATATGATAGTAAAATCATTAGAGATAAGTTAATATTTGTTTATTTATTTTTTTTTTGTGAATTGAAGGTAATAGAATTCTTCGAAAGCTTCTTATTGAACAAATAACATGTCTTAAAATTGATGTTAAGGATGAGCCAACAGAGCCATCTTCTGAAACTCTTTCCATTATGTTTGCTTTGATATTATCTTTATGTAAACGATTAATCGAGTTAAGTTTTTGTCAATTGGATAATTGATCAACGTTCTGTATTCTTGACTTATCATCAACAAATATCAAATCTTCAACATTAACTCAATTGTAAATTCATGTGGAAACTTTCGATGATTGTCTTTATCTACTTGATGGACGTTTCAATTGTTTATCAACATTGATTATAAATGTAAAAATAATTTCATATACATCAGTAACTATCGATAATAAAGTCAGTATAATTGTCAACTATTGTGTTTCGAGAAAAAAAAACAGTGAATTCTATAATTAAAGATACGTTGTTCGACTTTTCTTTTTAATAGAAAAAGCTTCCCAAATTGAAACATTTCTCATTAACATCATATCCACACATATTTTTATATGATAATTTAATTATTCCATTACTTCGACGAATGATAAATCTTGAAGAATTAATATTATTTCTGTCAATAATAAGAAGTAACAAAAATTATATTGATAGTAATGAATTATATGATTCAATTCTTATTTATATGCCACGATTAAATAAATTTATTTTTAATATACACACAAATGTAGATAAGAAGAATGTTGAAATTGATTTTTCGTCAAATGAAGATATTCAACGTAGTTTTAGCAGAAAAGAATATGGACCAGTTGCTTCACATATTGAAAGTTTCACAAGAGAAAATGAACGTAGATGTTATTATTATTCATTACCATATGAATTCAAAAGTAGATGCCACATCTATTCACTTCCATATCAATTCAAAAATTTTCATTTTCTAAATAATTCATTTCAAGGTGGAATATTTGATAATGTTCAATCTCTGATAATGACCGACTTCTGTCCTTTTGAACATAACTTTTTCAAAGTTATCTCTCAAAGTTTTGCTCTATTGAAAAAGTTGCATATCGTGAATGAAGAACCACAGAAGGACAAGCAACAATCAACGTCATTGATCATATTTTCCCATCTTATTTATCTCGATCTTCATGGTACTTATGTAGATTATGCTGAACAATTTCTCGTCGATAAATATTGTCATTTACCTTGTTTGTTGAACCTTAATATCGACTATGAATCACTCATTCTGATCACAAATAATTTTACTAATGATGCTACACGTCTCACTTATAGTAAATTGACCAGCCTTTGTATAAAGGAGGCGTTTGTACCTCCGAAAACTTTTCATCAATATTTTCCTTTATTGTAAATATTATTTTTCTTAAAATTTATGTCAATAAAAGTAAATAGTGCGAGAAAATTGAATATATTTTGATCATCCTGCTTAGATAAAATAAAACTAATATAACAAGAAGAAAACTTTTTTTTTAATGATTCAACAACAAAGTTTGATTGTTATGTATTTATTGTTTGAAAGATAATTCTATTCAAAAACAATGTTTTAGATTACATATTGGTATCGATGTAGTTAGTGGTGTTGTTGTTTTAGTTATTGTTAATATTGATGTGGATAAATATTTATATTATGTTGTATCTATTTCACTAATTTAACCATAATATTTTTCAGTAGGCTATGTGTTAGGTTTAAATTCTGAATTAAGATCCATCTTCTTTTCTGAATCCTGATGGGCATAAAAATTCTTTCGATATTTCATATTCATAACTTGTATAAATAAGAAATAAAAAGAAGAATATATTAAATATCATTGCCAATCTATTAGCAATAAATTATAGGAAAAAAAACTGATTTAGTTTAATTTGTATTTATCAGTTGAATTAGAGATAGAATAAACAATCGATTAAAGAGACATGCATAGTACTTTGCAATCATTGAATGTTTATCTGTTGTCTATTCTTCGTTAGAAAATTGTCCTCTTAACTTTTAGAAACAGAACAAATCAATTGCCGATACAGATGATAATAGAAGATTTATATAACGATGAGATGGGTGTGGGTGTTGGTGTATCAAGTGGCGAGGTCTAGTCACGACCACATCCACACCCACACCCTCTACTTTCTCTTAAGAATAATGTCGTATAAGGTCACAGTTATTTGCTTCGTCGTGATCAAACGGTGGAAACCATGATTCTGTTTTTGTACGAAGTGACTAATCACGACGACATAATGCGCGTAGCATTTACTGCATCAAGTATGCTTGAAGAAGTGTACGCTAAAAAATTAATTATTTCACTTTTCATTAGATTTTATTGTGAAATGCATTTAAGAGTGTGTGGCCCATGTGAAAATTTTTTTACTCTAAACGCGTTTCTAAACGCATCTAAAACGCGTTTGGAACGCATAGAAACAAACGCATCTGAACGCGGCCAAAATGAAACATCTGACGCGTTTAGACGCGTTCCATGGATGCGTCTAGACGCGTCTCATGGACGCGTTTTGACGCGTTCGAGTACAAACGCGTTCAAATGCATCCAAGTAGACCTGTGAAACATTCGACGCATCTAACGCGTTTCAAAAACTAAACGCGTCCAAACGCGTTTGAATATTTACAGGAAAAAAATATCATCTTGTACTCGTAGATTTGAACTACGTTACCATCAGACCACGTGATGGTCGGCTCTATCCTAGAGGCATAGTACAGAACAAGTGATATGACTTACGTAACGAATTTAATATGTGCGATGAACGAGGCTAGAACAGAAGAACATGTGAATAGAAAGCAAGTGACTTACGCTTGAGCTATATCTGCGCGATGAACTATCGTTCATATATAGACGTCTTTTTGAAATTCGTTTCCAATTAGATAATAAGTGTCGAAATGTCACAGAATCATGTTTTGGATTTTAAAGAAATTATTTTCAAATGTTAAGAGTCAATTAATATTCAATCAAATATAAAAAATTGTATTCTATCGAAATTCAAGTATATTTTTGTACATAATTAATTTTTTTTTTATCAAACAGCTTCAAATAAACGGATCATAACATAATTATGTCGAAAAAAGGTGGATTTTTTTTATCAATATTAAGGATATATGAAGATTCAAGATCAAAACTTTTTATTATAATTGAAAAAAATCTACTTTCAACAAAAAAAAAAATCTTTCTCTTTTTTTATCGTATTTTGATTCAAATTTAGTAATGAACATCTGGTAGTTTTAATAACTTTTCACAAAAGAGAGTTCCATGAAAATTTGAAATTTCAATTGAACTCGAAAACGATACATATAGTTACAATAAAACAGATACTTTTTTATATTTTGTTCATCATGAGATCAAAAATAACTCAAATACCTATTTATACAGAAAAAAGGCAGCAAACTCTTTATTTTCATAAATCAAATTAAATCATAAATACGTTCTGCATCTGAATAATAATTAAAAAATAAGTAATAAAGCGAATTAGTTTTATTGCAAATAATTAAATGAACACACATATTATGGTAACTCGATTATTGATTGGTGTATTCGTTTCTTCTCCTCAATAATAAATCAATATTTATAAAAGTACAAAAGCAAATTGATGTTAATGTAGTCAAAAATATTTGTATGATTTAAATATTCGAATATTTTATTATGCATCAATAATCAAGATGAAAGTCAGATTTTTAGAAACAAAAGAAAACGATTTTGTTATTTGTTTATCATGATCTTGAAAAAATAAACAAATCATCTATTTTTATTGGTAAATATAAATAAACAGTTATTTTATTTAATAATTCCGTTAGAAAGATTTTATATAGATTTACTTTGCAAAAAAAAAGATTTTATTCATATTTATTCTTTATTTAAACAATAAATAAAAAATGAAAATATCCTTTGTTGCCGAATGTGCAGATAAAGATATTTTCTGATACATCTAGAAACTTCTCTCATATTCTAAACCTATTAAATCGAGACTTTTCAATTAAAAAAATTTGTTTGTTATTGCTTAGTAAATGCTTTCATTACTAGTTTTTATCGTTATAAAACTTCATATGCTTTCATATCATCAATCCACGCATTTAAAAGATAACGGTCTAATGAAAACTAACGAACAAATAATAAGTAATTGCTCTAGTTATTTTTTCATCTAACGGGATAAATACAACTGAATATTTAGATCATTGATTAAGTAAATTTAGATAATGTAACGAAATAACTCTAAAAATCATATCACATATATTGGGAAAAGAGCAGTTGTCTTTTTAATTTTTAGAAAAATCATCCAAAACAGCATTTTTCATTTTATGATCGTAATCGTATAAATAATGGTTTAAATCGAAATGTTTCTGTTGCTTCGAACATAAAACAAACAACTAATGTTGTTAAACAAAAGGAAAATATTAAATGGAAATATTTATGATTTGAGAAGTTTAAAGAAAATTATCTTTGTTTGAATAGATCTAATGGGTTATTTGCTTGTTTAGTAAAAGAAGCAAGCAGTGGAGATGATTCAAATAATATTATATCAAAAGATTCTTTCGATGACAATATGGTATTGAAGAAAAATATTCGAAGACATACAACAATTTTCGTAGGAAAACAACAAAATATTCATCTTTAAGAATTAAATATGTCTTGCTTTGGATCTATACGATAGCTACAGTTTTTTTTGTATAGATTTATCCACTAAAGATCAAGATCAAAATCGATTCATTTCTACAAGTCAAATAACTATAAACATAGATGTAAATTTTTATTTAATTATATCTTATGATTATAGTTCCTCCTCCCGAAGTACATTTTTTTCTTATATTTGCAACTGCGCATTTTGCCGAATCTCATCGTACTCATCCAATATAAATAATTTTCTTATTAAGCAAATTTAGCTAACAAAGATTTTCTTAACAATATATAATCTTCAAATTACTGCCGACAGAGAAGTTACTATTTCGTTATAATAATAATTATTTTTGCATAATTCAAACATCTTTTAACTAGAATTTACGAATTTCAACGGTCAATTGATCATAAGTATGTCATATAAACATGCGATTAGACAAGTTCTAATCAAATTGATCGCATATGTGACGCGTTGGAATGCAAATATGATTTCGAACGGACAAAAAAAACGTGTTTCAGGTAGTACAGGAAGCAAACCGCGTTCCGATTCACAATGCGTTTGAACGCGTTATCTAGTTCAAACGCAGAAAAACGCGTGTCAGGATATACAGACAGCAAATCACGTTCGTATTGAGACGCGTCTGAACGCAATTCTTATTACAAATGCGTTCCAACGCATCTATGTGATGCGTTTGGATGCGGCTCATTACTGATTTTGACGATAGACGCGTTGAAACGCACCCACTAACGCGTTTAGACGCGTCTAGGTTGCGTTTCAGTTTTACATGGGGGGGTGTGGGTGTGGGGCGTGGACGTGGGTGTGAGAGTAGATGTGTGGATGTGGGTGCGAATTTATTTCTTAATTTAACATCCACACCCACATCCACGCCCTTGTTATGTAGTTTTATACATTCGTTTAAAAGAGTTTCGCTATTTCACTGTTTTCTTCAATCAATTACATGAAGAAACACACTGCACAAATGACGGCTCTGTTTTCTAAAATGAGAATAACATACACTAGATTCTTCATATTTGTGATCATTAATATTTTCTAACGATCTACACCAATAAAGTAACAAAACTAGTCCTTTAAGTGGTCATCTTTTCTCTAATCAATAAATAATTACTCAAAATTATAAGAATCAGTTGTTGATCAACTGAATAGGAGTTTTTTTGAAAAATTTTTGGTTGTGTACTCTTATTGTCACCAAATCTGACTTAATAACTGATTTATTAAAGAATTAGCATTAATCATAATTTGAAGTTAATTTTTTTTTCTTATATCATGGATATTTTATTTGAAAATGCTTTTTTTTTTAAATTATTTCTGAGTGATTGAAGATTGTTGCTACTGAAGAAAAAAATTGACTTTGAACAAGGATTATTTTGACATTATGAATAAGACGATGTTCTGACATTTTCATTCTATTTATCTTTTGATAAATGAATAGTGGCTACATTGAATATGATACAGAAGTTTTCCTATATATTCATTTTAAAAATCATGAAAAAATCACTAAAACAATGTCAGTAAGAAATAAATTATTGAATAAATTTGTGCCCAGAAAAAACTGACAGAGTTCTTTTAAAATAAAGTGAAAATACTATTTACAAAACAATTTTTCTCTTGTTTGTTAACATAAAAAGAAGTGCGTTTTTCATAGTATATCTCCTGTTTTATATTCTCAATAAATATTCAACTGAAAGAAGTACTATTTATATATATATTATGCAGAAGATCGATTAAAAAATGTAATGTGTAAGTATTTTCTATCGAGATTTTTCTGAACATATTCTTTGTTCTTAATGTATGTAATGTGTGCGCCAGAATAAAAGACGGGTGGTTGTAAGTGAGTGTGGATGTGGCTGTTCTCATCATCAACATTCACATCCACATCTACAGTCTAGATCAAAATCTCAATTTTACCTAGGTGGCAAATCATTTTCATGTATTCTTTTGCATGTTTTTTGAAAATGATTAGTTTTATAAGAATTTCGTCTTATACATTATCGGAGAAAAATATATGCCGATTTTTCCTCTTTCAATTGGTGAAAACCGCAGACGGCTAACTGCTGCCGTTGTCGAGTTATTGAACTTACACTCATCTCTCTTTTATTCTGGCGCGCATATTAGTTGTATCGAAGAGGTAATTTTTATAAGATATCTAAAAATTTGATTAGATGAGTACATAGTGACATAGGTTATGATTAAAGACATCTAGATGTATTTCATCGTATTTGAAATTTTTAGTTGAGAAGAAAAACAAGCGTCTAAGTTGTGTATGATCTTTTACCAAAGAAAAAAAATATCTATTATAAAGTAAATACTAATTTTTTCTAGTATAAACATCACTGTTATGATTTGAAATCGTTGATCTTATATTGACATCCTTATTTTCCTATAAAATGAAATGAGATGCGCAACTCAATAGCATTTTCTTCCGCTAAAAAAGTGTTTTTTTTTTAACGCAAGTTTGTTCTAATAAACTTATTTTTATGTCTATTTTCTAATGCGACAGAAAAAACATTGAACTCATAGCAAGAAGTCTCAGTTTCTGATTCCTTTCCTAGGAATATAAATCAGACTCTGGCTTAATATTTCTGGAAATACAATCATGCAAATATTATTGTTTTAACTCAAGTTTAAGACATAGTCGTTTTTAATGTCCGCAATTTTTCTGTCTGCTGCATATACATTCATGTGTTTCAATCAAGATTTTTCATCTAGCTGTATGTTTTTTAATCTAAATTCGATCATACATTCGATTAAATTTGACGAAAAGATTATCGAGAATAAAGATTGAAACCGAACCATCATCTTAAATAAAGCATAATCAAAAAGTAATCGAGAACGGATCATACAATTATGGAATCAGTAGTTCGAACTTTTTCCACTTATTTGAAAATAATGAATAATTCCAAAGAATAATAGGAACTATGCATTTGATAATTTCGCGACAAAGAAGGCACCGATTTTTGGTCATATTTCTAATAGTTAGAAACTCATATAAGTCTGACATAAAAAGGTGTATAAGAATATTTAGACATCTTAAAGCATTCGAAAAATCGATATAAAGAATCGTACAATATGCTCGTGTCAAGAGGAAGTAGCAGACTTGAAGTTCAAAAGTCCACCGTTTCCTCCTTGGTTCGTGTTTTCCTTGAAAAAAGACAACTTCAAAAAACAAGAACACAAATAAGCTATGTGTAGCTTAGGAAATTAAATAATATCCTTGATATTTTCGAGCAGCTACGTCGATGGCAAAACTGATAGTTAAAATTTTCATTTAGAATGTAAGACAATCTCATGCTTGCATAATACTTATTTACTTTCTTTTTATTAAGCTTCTTTCTTTGAGATTTAATATCGTTGATTCATTTGACAAGGTTTTTCTACCAATATCAATTGACATGCGATAGAAGGAAACCAATATTTGCTCATTTGCAAAAAGAAATTGAATGTTTATATAAATCAAGTGTGAAACCATATCACAATTATATATCTATATACCTAAGAGAGTTTTACTAATAAATATTCTTCAATCTTTAGTAATCATATATTTGCGTGTTGTTTTATCATAAACAGCAATAGTTTAATTTTTTTGGTATAAGTGAACACTTAACGTCACGTATAAAGTCATTGACATTGATATATATTCGCATAATATCATGTCTATTTATTGATCCTAATATATATATATATATATATTTTTCTTTTCATAGAGATGTAATTAAATCAAATCTGTTTGAAGAAAAATGTGCATGAAATAGAACTGTTTTATGGTCTTTTCCACTGAAATTAAAATTCTTGGATAACTCAAGAGTATTTGAGCATACATTGATAGTAGAAATTTAAACAGCAAAATAAAATGTTAAAAGAATAGCAAATGTGAATAAATATTTTGTAACAAAAAATGATTCATATCAATCATATAATGTTTATTGTCAATTGAATATTGATCAATTTGTCTATTTACGTCGTGACATTGGTTTTTGATTAGCATAGGCAACTGAATTAAGTGGAATACCTTCGTTTGAACGTTTTTGTCCATTTAAGTTTTGATACCATTGTCCACCTGAGTTTCCTGAATAATATGGAGGATTTATTGCTGGTTGTCCACTCCAGCTATTATAATAATTGTTTGCTGCATATGGATTATCTTGTCTTGCATTATAATTTTGATACGTATTTGAAGGAACATTATAATTATAGTTCATTGAATTAGGATTTTGTGGAACATTGTAACCATATTCTAGAAGACGAAAAGACACATATTAAAACAAAATGGATCAATTCATCGAATTCATAGCTCACGATTATTGGCATAGTTGTTATTATTATTAGTGTAAGGATATTGTGGAATAAAGTTTTGTGGGAATCTATCCCAACCTTGAGTAAGTTGATTGATACCTTGATTGAAATTTTGTTTGTATTGATCCCAATTTTGACCAAACTGCGAAGCACCTTGATACAAGTTTTGTTTGTACTGATCTAAATTTTGGCCAATCTGATTAACACCTTGATAAAAACCTTGTTTGTATTGATCTAAATTTTGGCCAATCTGATTAACATCTTGATAAAAACCTTGTTTGTATTGATCGAAATTCTGAGAAAATTGATTGGCAGTAGAACTGATACCCGGAACCAAATTATCACGGATAATATTGTACCCACTTGAATATAAATTATTCAAATTTTGACCAAACGTATTACTTGCTGCTTGTCGTCGCTTTCGGAGAGCTCGACCATCGATAACTAAACTTATTTATGTCAAATAAAGATGTTAATATTCGACTCTTTTGCTCAGAATGGAAATTTATGTGTGATTCTCGATTCTTAAAAACTGGGACTACACACCAAACTATCAGAAGTTGTATAGAAATCTGTTTTCATAAGAATTTGATATGAAATTATTTAGGTTTTTGGAACTCAAGAACACATAGTGAGTTACCACTAAATGGAAGAAAAGCTAATTTCTAAATAGTTCAGAGTGTTTGAGAATGTGTACAAACGAAATATCAAGTGTTTTCGTGCTCTTTGAGAGCAAAAATTCAAAGAACAAAAAGCCTAGTAGTTCATAGTTTTAAGTAAAATTTTGATGGAAACATAGATGTTTACCTGATATTGATAAGATTAATAGAAATAGAAATATTTTAATTATAGACATCTTGAATTGTGTTACACGTGATTCGTGAAAAAATATTTGTAAAACAATTTTTTCTTTCGTTATACAATGAATTACTTTGATTCACTTTTTGATCGATGTTAATGCTTTCGATTTTATGCGACGTAAATGTGTTATATTCAATCAGAATTTGATTCGTCACTTCTTACTTTTACTCGTTCTGATTGCTGCGCTTCTAGTGAAAAGAATGTAATAGGATTCTTTATTGACAATCTTATGGATATATTTATACATGCAAAAGAACATATCACACCTATGATGAATTGCTTTGCTCTCAGAGTTTCTTTGATTTGTTTGCGCTCTGAAACAAAATCTTTGAATCGTTTGGGTACTTATCGACATAATTACTTTTTATGTCATCATATGGAATTACATATATGCTCAGAGAAATTTATTATTAAGAACAGAAAGAAAAAAAACCGCAATATTATAGAATAGTTAACGATTGGTTTAGAATACTTAGAGACATAATTATATGCATGTGTAACCAAAAAAAAAATATTTGATACAGAATCAATATATGGATTGATTACAGTAGCAATGCATAAGGGTTCTCTTATTCTCACAGATATTTGCTTTCAACCATAAAGGATTTACTGCAAGTCAAAAAAAAAGCATAAAAAGAATTTTTTTTTAATAAACGATCTTTTCTTCGATAAAATGCTATCAATATTATATGTTCGTAGTCATTTTTTTCGATGATAGCAACAATTCGACCGAACAAACTCATCCGACTTTTTGTCGTATTAAGCGAACGAATTCATTTTTCAAATTCCTGATCATATTATAGAAATATTGATTTGTGGTGCCATTATGTGAATGCTAAATAACATTTTTGAAAAATATGATGACGAAGATATTTAAAAAAAAACAGAAGAACTTTAAAAAGTTCGTTTTTCTTTTAACCTTCGACGAAGAATAGACATGGTTCTTCATCAGTTAGATCACTTTTGATACCGTCGTCTTTCTATACATAAGAGAGTGAAGATGACTGAAAATCATCATAATCTTTATGATCATAGCTGTAATATGGGGTGTGGGTGTGAGTGTAGTTCTTTCTTACACCCACACCCACATCCACACCCTCGTCATCATCATTACCTACCAGAGTGAGATTCACTTGCCATAATCGGTCATTGTGATCATCTTGAATTCGTTCGATACAATCAATTCTAAATATAGTATGTGTTGTAAAAAGAATTTCAGCTTCATCATCATTGTAGTAGCTTTCCTCTTTAAAGGTGACAAAAAAAAATAGATGATTTTGAACATATAGCTGGATTGATAGTCATGATGAAGAGGACGCCTACCATATTAGAATCTGTTAATGCTCCTTGTCGAGTGAATTGAAGGGATACCTGATGATTTTCACTGGTTGAAAAAAAGTTATTAAAAGACATAAGTCCTCCTTTGGTCTGTTTCATGTTATCGAAATTTTTATTTGATAGGCCTTGTCCACGGTAAACTTTGAATAGTTCCGTGGCTTTTAGACTGGATTGTTCTTGTTTGTGATGTAACTTCTCAATCTCATGGTGTAAATGACGAATAAAAAAGCCCATTTTAAAGATAATTTCGACGTCCATCAGTCGAAGACCATGATTCAACATTGAATAGATAAAATATGGACCCGAATACCACCAAGCAGGTGAATGATCACGATATTCTTTCTCAATCTTTTGAATTGTCTTTTCGGCAGCAACACTGTGAAGGCGACAGTACTCAGCGAGTTCTTTAATTGGTTTTGTATCATCGTCTGCGATATTCAGAAGTGCTTCTTGTAACAATTGCGTATACATAAATAATGCATCGATGCCATGATAACTAATCGAAATCATAGTTTGATCACATTTCTTACGATCCATTTGTAGTACTGTGCAAATGTCTTCGATATGTGTGTATAGACCTTTTGCCTTAGATATTGTTTTTGTCTAAGACTGATGGATGGATTTTTTGTCACCGAACATATAAACAGAATCTAATTGTGGGCATGCTTCAATTCCTGGTATTATGTCTTGACCTAGTGATTCGAAAACAATCATGAAGGCTTTTTCATGTTGAATATCAGTGAGAAAATCAACATATAGATCGACATCTGTAAATGGTATAACTGTTGTTACTATGTTTCATAGATCTTGTATTGATTTCTTGTTATTCTCTTTGGATTCATCGAAATTGGCATCGAGCCATATCAGTAGAAAATTTTGTAATCTCCGACGCACAGGTCGGGATAGAGATGATGCTGATTCAGCACTAGCAGCAGATTTGCTTGATTTTTGTTTATTTATAATGACAATGAAAGAAATGCGTGTAGTCTACCTGTATTTATACTAGCTCTGACTTTGTTTTTGTCTATATGGCTTTTTTTCCGGCTTGAATGGAGCAAGGAAGAGGAAGGACGAAAAAAGACAAGATTAAACTGAAGTCAAGTGTTTTTTCTGCAGATATACTAAAAATATTCAGTATGTATCAGAAGAAGGGAACGAATGATAAGGGATATGGGTGTCCGTATTCCCTTCAACTACACCCACACCCACACACTTACTAGTAAAAAGATATAAAATTGAAATTTCACGGAAATTTGAAAAAAAATTGTTAAAATTTGACTAGGTCACTTTTCATATGATTATAAGAAAAAAACGATTTTTTTAAGCGATACAATAAAACCTAGAAAAACTAAATGGCCATCTTTGAAGGCTAATGTATAGCGGTTCTAATGAGATATGACACTTAGTTCTATCTGTTCATTAAAAAAAACTAGAAAGGTTTATAAAATTGTCTATGGATACTATAAAAAGGCGTTCGAGTGGCCTTATTCGATAGCCTCATGTCGAAGGATGCTTCCATTTCAAACTCAATCAAATAACATTTTTTAACTTAGTTTCTAATGCTGAATTACAAAATAATCCTTTAAAAAAACTACCAAACTACAAGTAAGAAAAAACTTGAATGTTTCTGAAAACAAGTCATTTTTAGCTATTCTAAACGGTTTCTGACACCCTCTTAGTTTTTTGAGTTTTGTTTTGATAAAGCATAATACAATCGATTGAAAAATAATATATTTCTGATCAAATTTTCATGCTCTATCGAATGATATATGAATGAACAAAGAACAAAAATTAGTCGAATTTTGTATTACGTTCTCTTTATATACTTCAGTAAAATCACTCAGATATTTTTATTAATTTTTAAATTCACTACAACGAAAAAAAATTCAAATGGCAAGTATAAGATAACATAGATCGCTTATTCTCTCTTTGATTTCAATAACAATAAGCTAGCAAAGATTAAGCTAAAATTATTTAAATGTTCATTTACTATATAATGATAAAATAAGAATGTTTATTTTCTTTGATTAAACATATTCATATTTATCAACAATAAGCTGTGATTCATTTGAATACATAACAGATTTACGATTGTCAACAGATTTGACGTCAGCAATCTAGAATAAAAATCCAATCAATAAAAATAATAAAGTCTTTTTATTTTTATTTTTTGGGCTTTACTTTAATATCACAATATGATGTTTCAGCAATGAAATCTACTTGAATGGGAAAAAAATCAACTGATTTTCCTCGAATTGTAAATTCTAATGCTCCTTCAGAATTTGATTGATCAACAACAGGTAATGTCCATATTAATGTTGTTTTTCGATTATCAAATTGATAATCACCATCAAATTTTCCAATCACTGGTATTTGTCCACCGTCCCTTTAAGAAATAAAATTAGAAATAAAGTTCTATTACTTTTTTATAGAATCATTCTTACGGTAATGGTACCATTATTTGAACATCTTTTAAAACGAAATTTCGATTTTGTAATTCATATTCAACATTAACATCACAACCACCATTTGGTGTTTCATTAGGCCAACAATTAACTATAAAGAAAGTTTAACAAAAAAGTATATACATATATTTAAAAAAATTCATTTTACTTGTTAGTGGAATTTCGTTTGAATTAGTTGATATATAACGCTGTTAGGTAGTGGCGCTATCTTTTGTCCACTACCTCCTTTTTCTTCTCTTTCTTCTATGTTCTATTGATTGGTCATCTGTGTGATCCATAAGAATAGATAGATGACCGGATAGATAGTGTGTTTGTTTTTCCCGAGTAAAAAAGAATAAAAACGTGAACCAGGAGTGTTGATCGACACTTCCTAACAATTGGTGCCGTGACCCGTCGTGATACATATCGACCGCAATTCGTCGAACACGATAAGATTTTTTTTCCTCTAGTCAAGTTGTTTTTTTTTTGTCCTAGTCCTGATCGTCTTCGATTTATTTCTATTGTTTTTTCTGGTTTAACTTTTGTCTTTATGACCTTTATTCTGAAGTTATTATTCTTACTGGTGCCTATGTTATCATTCTGATCATTGTGTTATTCATTACTTTTATTGTCCTGTTTCTGCTGAATTTACTATTCGTCTTATTGTTATCGTGAAGTATTATTATTAATTATGGAAGAATTAATTCGATCAGTTATACAATTTGATGGTGCTCTAAATCAAGATGTTATTCAATGGCTAGAATATATTGAAGAAGTATTTGATCGAGTACAATTACAAACATCAAATAAATATATTGCTATACAATACTTTTTAACTAATAGTGCTGCTACGTGGTTTAAATATAAGAAATCAAATATTCCTGATTGGTTTACATTTAAACGTGAACTTATTGAAGCTTTTCAATCGTCGTCCTCCTTTTCCTCATCACATCTTCTTGATCAACATCAATTAATACTTAAAGAAGAACCACAAAAACTTGAACAAGAACAAGATATATTACCTGTTCCTGCATCGACTTCAACAATATCCAACAAGAAAAATGATAGTGAAAATTATCAATTAGATTTACTTCATGATGGTTCGATTAAATCATTAGAAAATTTAGAAGTTGATAATTTAGAAGATAAATGTTTACGTGAACATGAACAAGGTTATTACTCATCTATGTTAGTTAATACTAATGATTTTGATCTGGATATTCAACATCAAGATGCAGATGCAGCAGATAGTTGTGATACACAACAACAAGGCGAATCTGTTATTAATTCTGATTCTGTTCAAACTGATATTGAAGATACTTTTGAAGATTTTACTCGACCTATGGATAGTTTAACAGATAATGATTCATTAATTAATATTGTTTTACCACATGATGTTCAATATTTATGGTCTGATAAATATAAACCACGTCCACCTCGAATTCTTAATAAAGCTCCTGCTGTTTATAATTGGAACCGATATAATAAGCTACATTGCAATAAAGATGACTCATCACCACCAACTATTCAAGAGAATCAATTTAATACTGTTAGTAAAGGATGGAATTACACATATAATCATGGACTTCGATTTTATTTTTATAATGAAATGATTCAATTAAGATTTTCTTTTCGTAAATGGAAATATCGTCTCTCAACTTTATTTTGTTTTCGTAAATGGAAATATCGTCGAGTAACTTTTTCTGTTTGTTTTTATTGTTTGTCGTTTAAAACTGTTCTACCTTATGTTATTTTTTTCATTTTTGCTGTTTTTTCTTTGGTGAACTTATACTTTTATGTTACTCAAACTATATCTCAAGATATAAAAAAAAAAAAAAAGAAACAACAGAGTTACTATTGTTCATCCTCATCTATTTTTTCACAAGTACTGTATTCTATTTTTTCTATTCTCAGTGATGATGCTGTTACACCTCGTGTTTCTTTTATTTGCTTTATTTTCTATCTCTTTATTTGTTATTATCTCTTCGTGAACAGATAAAACCGTTCACTGGTAAGGGGCGGAGGTGTTAGGTAGTGGCGCTATCTTTTGTCCACTACCCCCTTTTTCTTCTCTTTCTTCTATGTTCTATTGATTGGTCATCTGTGTGATCCATAAGAATAGATAGATGACCGGATAGATAGTGTGTTTGTTTTTCCCGAGTAAAAAAGAATAAAAACGTGAACCAGGAGTGTTGATCGACACTTCCTAACAAACGCCATTTAAGTACGGCAACTTCTTGATTAATTGGAAATGATTTATCTGCATTTTTTAAACCAATTACTGATTCATTAGTAAATAATTTCTTATCAATATTTGGATGTGTCTATAAAAAGAAAAATATAACATCTCCAATGTGATTTAATTCCTGAGAAGATCTTGTCTCGTTTCATCGGCAGGTTTTTTTTCGAACGATACACTGTAACTAAGTGTTTTATCCAGCGTGAAGATCAAGGAGACGAAACTCGTCCGAACATCAGTTTGATCCTTTCGGAGTTTTACGTCACCCATCCGCAAGAGAAAATCTGAATAAAACATGCGCTTAATCTAATAATGAAGCACATAATGAGTGTTCATTTTCTAAGACAGTAATAGGACAACGTAGAACTGAATTACTATTAGTGTTTTTATAGATGATGATCCAAATGTAGGATGTGGATTAAGAGGAGATCAATATTCAGAATTGTCAGCGAAACGGGACTGAATCCAAAAAGAAGAAACTAAAATTGTTACTTGCAATTGAATATTTCTTGTTTCTTTATTATCAACAACAATAAGAATACGTCCATATTGTATAGATTTAACACATAATATAAGCATACCATGAACTTCTAAACTTTCTAAACCACCATCGTGACTGCAACGTACAGTTAATTTTTTTTCTTGCTTTAAATGAACACTGAAGAAAATTTCTTTTTAAAATTTAATCAAGAAATTTTGCCTCATGTAACTTACTCTCCTTTTTTTGTGTTTGGTAAAGATATACTTTGTGTTTTATATTTAGCAACTGCTCCACCAACACCTGATGTTACTGGAACAGTATTGACGACGATTTCACCTTCCGATTTCATTGCTTTGTCTATTGTACTTGGACGAATAGTAGTCGACCTATAAAAAGAAAAGTTATTTCATTATCGACTATTTGTCTTATTTTGAAACATTCATACATACGCTGTATGACTAGTTGAATAAGTTACTGGTGTTGGTGTTATGTCGGGTTTATTATTCGTTGATGAACTGCTATATATATTTGATGATATACTAGTTGAACTTTCATAGAATTTTGATCCATCAACACGTTGTGCACGTTTTTGTAAATCAAGTTCTTTTGCTGTTTGTTTCATTCGATCTTTTGCTTGATATTCTTGACACTAAATGGATAAAAGATCTTTGTTTGTTTTATTATAAAGAAAAAAAGAAATCAAAACATGTCTCATTGCATCATGCACACGTTCATCATGTGAATCCATTTCAATATATGTACGAATTTGAGCTGAGTTCACATTTTCTTTATAACCTAATGCAACAATTTCATCGAATGCAGATATTAATTCAAAAGCATGTTCAAAAATTTCTTTCTCATCAACAATTTTACAATATTCTGAAATCTATAATAGTGAAAAACAAATGATAAAGATCGAAGAATTTCTTATAGATTAATAAATATTTACCACTTGAGAGAAAAGTCTCAAGGTTTCAAGATCTTCAAATATATTCCTTGCTTTTGTAGTTAATAAAATCATATAAAGTTTATCAAATGGTTGATAAACATAACGAACAGTATCCGTTTCAACAAATGTATGTTGTTTATCGGCATCAATTAATTGCGGAAATGAGCCAAGTAAATCTTCGATACGTGATCGAGTCATTTCCACAAATTGTCGTGAGATAAGTGCTATTGAAAATTCAAAAAATAAGTTGTATAGAAAAGAACAACAAATTATAGGATTTACGTTTGCCCGTTTTAGTACAAATTGATGCAGCGAGCAGAGTGTCGGTAATTGAATAATCTGAAACAAATATATCTATAGAAAGTAAAAAAAGAAAAGTCGAGTTAGCATGTCTGTTATTGTTGTTTTCTTTTTGCTTCAATCTATGGATCGACTTCAGACATTCAAGAAATTATGAATCAATCAGTGACAAGTCAATACATGATCTATCCATTTCAACTAAAGGATGATAAAATCATCGAAACTCGTTTTCCTTTTTCATTTAAATCATTCAAATGCAGAAAATTGTTGATTTTTTAAAAATTAAATTAGCAAAATTCGACAACTAATTGATATTATCTTTACTAATACATATAACTTTTTTTTTACACAATAAAAAATGCATAAGAGTGCAGGCGACATATATCGAGCAAAAGCACTTTTGTTTCTCAAAATACTAAAGACAATGAAAATTTGCAAAATCCTCAGAATAAATTGAAATCAAAATTATCTGTTGTATTAATATTGTCATGATATTTAATCTTTATATAATTAACATCAAATAGTATTAAGACACGAATTTGTTGGTATTGAACTAGTCAATATTGAATGAAAGATTTGAGTAAATATTATTCAATCAACTCATATTTAATCATATGTATATTGAACGAAATAACCACAGTACCAATATAATTTTGTTTTAGAAATATTTTTCTAATCTGATGAATAAGTTTCTTGTTCTACTTCTCGTTACTTATTAAACTTTTATAGAAGGTTATTTTTGTGAGCAGATTTTTGTGAATGTAATTTTGTTCTCATTATGAATTCATGAGCCTATGAAAATTAATATGAGAAAATTTCTCGAATGAACATTTTAAGAATAGAATTACTTTCTGAATATTATCAAAATAAAAAGATTGATTACATCGAATTATAAAACTGAATGTATCTATTGGTTTTATACGAATATAAAGTCTAACCGATGTTGATGTGAGTCTTCTATTCAACTACGCTCATTAAACTTACTTTTGTCACATTAGAATCAATTTATTAAACCTATTATCAATGTAGTTGTAGCAGAATCAATTAATAAAAGTTCCTAAACAATTATCAAGAAAGAATTTTATGAATAGATTTGAATTTCAAAATTTTTATCGCTATTCAACAGTCTGTTATACGATTGTTTTTAAAGACTTTTCATGAAAGACGTTGTTCAATACGTATTTCTTTGTCGTTAAATCGGAATTGAGATAATTGAATAGTGAAAGTTTCATTACTCACCAGATGGCTTATAGAAAAAGTCTTTATTAAAATCACCGAATAAGTCGACACCACTATCATCACATTCATCCATTAATTCTGCTTGTTTTGACTGTAATTGTGATGAATCAATTTTTGTTACAGGTTTCTTCTCTAAATGGAAATACAGACTTCAAGTGAAATCAACCTATGTCAATTCATGCATAGATCAACACACGTATAAATAATTCTATAGTTAAGCGCATAATAAACTGGTGTTTTTGTTGAACACCATTCTGAGAGTGGTAGGTAAATGTGACGTGTCTGTGAGCTTGCGCATTGGTATTCTATTGTATCAAGATTTATCAAGAAACAGATCCGTGCGTACATCTTTAAAAGAAGAGAATAGAGTTTGAAAAGATTTCAATTGTATGATACCGAATATGTTAGATGAAGAGGAAGCTAGCAATGAAATGCAATATTGATTTTCGTTAAAAATATATGTTACGAAATAGAATGAATAGAATATTCGAAATCTGCGTCGAACAAATACATGGAATAATATATAGACTCTGTCAGGCATATATCTCGTGAAATTATGAATGTTATTTCCGTCAAGTTTTTTTTCTTTGTAAGTATGTTTTCTATAGTTAACCATAAATCGAGTATCGATAGAAATTATCTTCTGATGAAACATACATGGCATTCTATACGTTTCATTTTTGTAAATTTATTCCCAACATTGAATTTATTTCTTATCTAAAATGAAATTTTTCATGAGAAAAATTTGGAAAGTATAAAATGAAAATTCATACTTTATTTGATTCGCAGACGGTACACAACTAAACTAAAGTGTAGTTGAAAGTTATATCTTTTTATTTAGAAAATGAGGTATTTTTTTCAAATTTTTTTCATTCGATTTATCGTATTAATTCGTGAAGTTGATTAAAAAAAAGTAATCAAGAAATTCCAGCACAATAGTCAATTTTTCTTCTCCAAGGCAAAACTAATTTTATTTTCTATAGAGATATGCACTGGAATTTTTCACTTTCAAATACATATATGGAATATTTATACTGATTTAAGCCGTCTTTGTATCGTTATATTACTCTTTTTTAAAATTTCTACGGCATCACAACATTGCTCTACAGATTGCCAGTGCAACTATATACGTTTTTTCCCTTGAATAAATTTTTGGATTATCATTCGTTAAAAACTCATTCCATTTTTCATTTGTTTTTATACTTTTGTTTCCACTTACTGAGAATAAGAACTTTCATCTTACTAGAATGGGAATGCAAAAGTAACAACTTCAATCTAATTAGTATCATTCTATAATATGTACATTTTATAGTGGAAGATGTATCGAATTTTGGTGGAGATTCTTTGTGGAGTTTGACATCATCTATGACTGGACAACGGTTTCATATTTTGTTCTAACATTCTTACTGTATTTGTTTCAGGCAAAGATCTGATATCGGTGTAAGTTTGAACTTAATCAGATGAAGCGTTTCAAAAATACTATTAATAAGAAAGGAAAATCCTTAAAAGAAGTCAGTTTTTTTGTCCATAAATTGCTTGTACTTAGAAGTGAATTTTCAAGTTTTGCTGATGAAGATACTGCTAATGATGATGATGTAAACAGTTCGTCAATGGGTTATAGTGTTTCATCTAACTGAAAACGAAATATTCAATATTGTTGCTGTTGTCATATACACAGCATTGAATTGGTGTAGGGTGTGAGTGTATCTTCTCTTCATCCACACCCACACCCCATCATCACATATTGTGCTGAATTTGAATTGCATACAATGGATGCACATAAACACAAACCTTGTCTTTATATTTTCTTTATTCAACTAGATTATTATTGCATTTTCTATTTTTTTTTAATATTTTCGAAAAATTTGTTATGTTACAATTATTGAAATATTAGTTTTTCTAAACTTTTAATCAATGCTATATACTTCTTAGATGTCTTTTTTATAAATCTTTTTCTTTTTAATATATCTTTTATCATATCCAATTTTGTTGCGATCGGGCCTTCTCTGTCTCTCTAATCAAATGATATTAAGTTATTCATCTGTTGGAAATGGTTGACTTTCTGAAAATTTGTATGAACTCAATCTGAAAATGAGTCTCTGTTTATTCTTAAATTCGAAATAAAAGACGAAGTACTCATTGCACGATAGAATATCTGCATCGCATAGTATGTTATTCTATCACGACCAAGCATTTTTTTCCCCTAATTGTACTACATCAAAAAGAAAGTTTAGACGAATTTTGGAATAGTGTTTTACATAAACTAGTTAGTTACCAACTACAAATGATTTCATGCTAAAGATAAGAGTAGAGAAGGGAAAGAAAAATTTCAGATCATGAAAGACAGAGACGAGGAATTTTTCGCTCGATTTTGTACTACATTCTATAATTGCAAAAAACTCAGATTCATTTCCTTATCTCTTTAATGATGAGTATCGTGTCTAAATTTTCATTATCATCGAAATCATAGAATCGATTCTTCTTGTTCTCTTGTTTAAGGTTTCTGACAATGGAAGAATTAAGTTCCACTTAAGAATCTTCTTACCATCATAGACGATTAACGATTCTCTGAAAGAGAACAAAGATCAAAATCGATTTAGAATATTTTCTTTTTTTTATTTCACCTACTCTTCGTCATTGACGATCATCAAATTGTTATCTTCACATCGTTGTTGTAATGTTTTTCGTTCTTCTGTAGTTATATTTATCATTTGAATCTTTAGATCTATTTATATTTTGAAAATTGTGACATCTATGAATATTCGTTCTATATTAACTAACTTACCATTTTGCATTTTGTTTTCGAGTTCAATTGATTTATCGTATTCATTCAACGAGTAACGATACGTGCGTATAATAGTCATCATCATATCAAATTTTGCATCGCCACCTGCTCGATAGGAAATTTTCTCACAAAGTTTTTCAAAATCAGCAATCAACTCTTTTTTGCTTTGAATCGATGCACTTTGAAGTGAAATACGTGCATCGATCAATTTTTGTTTGATCAAAGTCAAATCTGATAGGTCACCATCCCATTGCATATATGGTAATAAATCGACATCTCGATCGCGCATAACATCAAGAAGACGAACGCCTTTATGAAAGAAGGTACACATGCATATATTCTCAATAATAAAATGGATTAGAAAAAAAATCAACTTCTTCTGCTTTATTAGTAATAGTAGAGCTCAAAAAACTAAAATTCTATCCATACACTTTTTGTACTATTGTGCGACAAGTCTGGAGCACAGTATGTGTGATAGAAGAAAAAATCTTGTTCCAATCAAAATTAACATAATTTCGGTTTTATCGATGTAAAACTTTATGATCTCCATACTATCAAACATTCTGGGCTATAGCATAAGAAGTATGTAGATAAAATTTTAGTTTTCTACTAACCTGGTTGAAGAGTTTGTTTATCCGTTTTGGCATCACGTTCTTCGATGGCAACAAAACTAGTGTATGCACTGATGACAGAATGTTTGATGCTTAAATCGATGAGATCTTGTATATATATTGGATTTTGATTCGTTCGTTTTCGCTCTCATCCATTTGCAATAGTCCATTCTCATAATCGTCGATAATTGCTCGAGCAGTTAGATAATGTAGAATACGTCCTCGAGTTGTTGTCATTGTACTACTAAATACAGTTGTAACAAATTCTTGTCCATCGATAGTGACTGTCAATGTTGCTTTGTGACAATTTTTTATGAATCGATAGACGCTAAGTCGCATTCCATTGAACAAGGATCGAATTATTTTCGGTGCTTGCATATCAAATTTTTGTTTTTCATCCAAATGACCTTCCCAATCAATCGATATACTTGTAACACATGGTTGTCGAACATGTTCAAGAATATTCAATACTTTTGTTTTCCATCTCGATCGATAGTTTGAGCCGAATATTGTTATTAGGCCACCTCCATTGGCTCCATTTGCTAATTGTTTCAAACCACGCTTGTTAGCAACATTACCTATGGCACATGTAAATAAACGATCACGATGCATAGTTGATTAATGTTTGAATAGAGCAAGAATCGAGTTGACATCATGAATATGTCCATCGGATAAGAGAATAAATTGACGACCAAATTTTGATGAAGATAATGATGGCAATAATGAATAACGATGAAGAACAGCAAATAGATCCGTATTACCACGATGAACAAGTGAATGCTAAAATATATGAACAGATTTGTTTTAGTAAGAAAAATTCTCTGTTAAGATGAACTACTAACCAGTACAAAATGCTTAGCTTTATCAAGATTCTCTTTTGTGATTAATGTTGAAATCGGAAAACATTCATCATTATCTAAATAATTCAAATTTGAATCGTAGAATAAGGCTATAGAGTATCATTGTATTACCTGATCCAAAAGTAACGACATTAAAATATGTATTTTTATCGTCGACTTCTAAATTCGTAAGAAATAAATGAGCTAATTGTTTGGCTTGTTGAACATGACTACCATCCATCGAATTGGATACATCGACAATAAAAATAATTTCAATTTGTTCATTTGAATTCGTCAATATTTCAAATCGTGGATAAAAAGTAAGCATACATGCTTGAGAATCATGATTGTTTGATGTTGTTGTGTTACTGTCATCATCCAATGTCAATGTTTCATTCGATATTCGAGGTAAATTAGCACTTTTGAGTGTTATCGCAAGAATAAAATCTCGATCAATTAAGACGTTATCAACAAGTTCGACCATTGCTATACAATCAGTTAATTTTCGACGAAGACGGTGTGTTGGCGAAAATAGTTTCATGATTTTATAGGGCATTCGAATTGATGCTTTCAAACTGAATTCAACTTTTTCATCGATAATATCGATCGATTGTACAATCGATTGATCCTTGCTTTTGATTGCTTGTTTTGATTGCCATGAAGCCATTTTAGCTGGAAGACAAAAGATAATATCATCATTTTCGATTTCTAATTCAGCGACATAAGTTATTTTGATGATGACTTCATTGTTTGCTGGTAAATTGCCAACAGCTACACTGAACACTTGAGCTTGTTCTTGATGCATTAAATAAGCACCGTGACCACTTTCGATTGCTTCTCGATATTCTTGTTTGGCTTGTTCTTTCTCTTTGACAATACCTTTAATAACTTTATTATTAATATGTGCTTCAAAACCACATACAGTTGAATTTTCATCAAGAGGAAACACATATTTAGCTTCGATTGGTGCTGAACTTGTATTATGATAGACTTGATAGAGAACAACCTTTTCATTAAAAAGCAATATAATGAATTAGTGAAACGATATATATATATATATATATATAGATATAGATATAGTTACTTCAACGGTGACATCAACAATTTGAGCACGAATATGAAATGATTTAAGTGGTACAAGTTTTCCTGATGATGGACATATTAAACCGTAATCTTGTTCGGCTACTTCAATAACTTCATCATCAACTATCAATGGAACTTCGACTACAATGTAATAACATATAACTTGATTGAATTTTATTCTAACAAAACGAATCATCATTACCATGTTCACTCAATTTTAATGCGTGTTGCTGATGATGAACAATTAGTAATCGTTCTAATTCGATATTGAAAGCATCGTTCGATACCCATGAAACTTCAACAACGTAGAGTAGACGCTGTTGATCGAGTTGATAGATCGCATATTCATTATCCTATTGCGATGAAAATCAAATTTATGATTGCAAGACTCGTCTGAGAGAGTCTCTGATAGACTCCTATTACTAGTTTAGGTCCGTAGTAGCAATAGAGATTTGATTGAGACTTTTGATTTCAGAGTGTGGATGGATTTCGGTATTCTCTTTTGTCACATCCACATCCTACGAATTACTTACGATAAACGTTGAATTATTTTCTTCTGTTCGCTGCACTCCGTGTGTACTATGAAAACCATTCGGAGGTTTGGTAAGAGTCGGTGAAAATGAATAATAGTTGGCTGATTCACCTAGTGCTACTTGACAAATGCACAACAATCGCCGACCTGGTCGTGTCGTGCTTGCTATCGTATACTTTAAAGATGTAGAGGCCGAATCAGAAAAGTAAATTCCATAGCCAAGACAACCAATATCAGTACGTACGACACCCAATTCTTCAACCACCATTTTGGGCATGATCAAACCACTGAATATATACATTAGCATTGTAACTATTGACTCGAATATAAAAGGAGTATTTGTTACCGTGAAAGAATTCCAAGAAAGTTGACATATTTCGATCCATGAAATAATTGCCGTTGGTGGGATAATGATGTACGAAAATTGAGTGTATCTGTCTGTTTAGCTACACTGAATACATGGTGAATAATAATTTGTTCACCACTGATGAGGAAAAAAAAGGAAAATTATCATTATGAAATTGAATTTTAATTCTGTTTCACCTATCGGTCGACGACTGAATGAGTTCGGCAACATTTTTAAATTCAGATGTTGAACTATCGACTGTTTCAATGTAACATTTTAATGCTCGATATTTCGCTTCGATCGGTGCTTTAACATTCCAATTAGTTAGTTCATTGGCTGTGAGCATATCTCGAAGCATCTGAACGGAATAGAAGTTCAATTGTAATCGTTAAAAGAAATTGATGTACTTGACATAAGTCATTTTTTTCGATCAATACTCGACGATTTTTTATGAGATCAACATTGTACTGTGCTTGATGAGGAATAAGTGAATAGAAATGAAGTGCAGTAGCAGGATCGTTGATCGATTTGAGTTCAAGTAATGCGGCTTCAGCTTCGATGATCTATTTAGTAGTTTGAAAATAAATCTAATTTAAATATGCCAAAATGAATTTTTATACCGTTTTGAGAGTGATCGATTCAGGCGATACGCTCAAGATTTTATTCAGATCACCAATTGATTCCAGCCAAATAGATTCGATCAATTGACATACATTCTCATCGAGTATTTGCGTATCGATGCGATGAATAAATAGAGACTTTAAAAAAAAAGTTTTTTTTGCTGGAAAACAGTTTCTCTTTGTCAACGTCATTTACTTACGCGTAATAATAGTTTCGATCCTAATTTGTCAGGCAACATTTCACGAATTCGTGTTACACGTGGCATTGTAGCCACTCTATAATAGTACGATGCAAACAGTTGTTGCTGTTCGTTTGGATCATCACTAAATGCATACTGTATCAATGCTTTTTTATCCATCTGTTGTTTTTGACCAATAATAGTCTGTTTTTCGTATCGAAATCGTAGTCGATAATCACTCGTTGTTCGATCATAGTACTGTTCTGGAATAACTTGAAGTTCAAGAACAAAAAATACATACGAATTATCGTTGGTTTCCTATTACGAACGATACAAGTATAAGAGAACAATAGTTACAAGTCAATAGAATTGTACTTTGAAAATGGCCCATTTGCCAATTTCACAATGTGTTGACTCATCGAAACGAGGCAAATCAGCATCGTCGAAATTCCATAGTTTGATTTTAGTCAAATCAAATTTATTGATTTTAATCGCATTTATTCGAGAACCTAACGAGCGAATATGTCCAATATGATTTTTAAAAAAAGAAAGTTCTAATACCTGTGACGAAAATAGTGCCAGCCTTCGTAAAATTTTCCTGATCTTCAGCTGATGTGATGATAAATTTAGCAATATCGATCGGTGGTTGACCAGACTGCAAGCGCCGATATTCGTATACATATTCAACATTGATTAGCGGCAAACCGAGCTGTTTAGCACGACGTATCTTGTAGCTATCTACATTATTCGTAACCAAAATGTAATCAGTCTAAAAAAAAGTGAACTTAAACAGCGTGTTTTTGCAAAATAGATCAAGAACTTACACTAGCTGTGAGAAAATATGAAATATGTGCTTGGTGTTCTCGTAAATAGTTGATCAGTTCTTGCTTAGCTTTGAAGCCTATTTCCCGACCAAGTTCCAGTACAATCGTTTTACCATTGAATGGTGATAACAATGGAGTAGATGTAGTAGTTTGTTTCATCTGAAATTAATTGAGGATTTTCAAAATAAAACTAACTAAGAATATATTCATTTTTTAGGTTTTCTCTTTATCACAAATACAAAACAAAAATAAAACTGTTTGCTACAGCATGTTTTAAATCTAATCGTATAGTAACACAGGCAATTTATTCTGGATGACTGATGCTGCTACCTACTATTTGATGGAGAGAAAGAAAAAAGAAACAAAAGAAATGTAGATGAATGTTGTTGATATTTTTCTTTACAGTTCTGCACATGCCATGTGTCTTATGTTATTTACAAGTCGATAAAACAGGTATAATGTGGAAATGTTGACACGTTGTGAAGTGCAATATTAATACACTTTATCGTTGACGTTAAGGGTGTGGGTGAGAAAACAACGACACCCACACCCTCAGGCGTAATGGCTCTACTGCCTACGCTAGGCTTAGTAAAACCAAGAATGTCATACACTATGGAGAAATCTCGAGGCAAGACTTGAAGTCTCGTTGTAAACTGAGGAGCTTGAATTTCTAGTTTCATTGCTTAAACTTCTTATATTGTCGCTTGAATTTCTTGCTAATGCATGTGCACTACACTTGAACACTGCATATCTGTTTTATTTTGACGCTGTAGTTGTTTCTTCAACGTTGATGCCAATAGTCCTCGATTGTTCCAATGCCAAAATCTCATAAGAAGTACAAATAAAGAAGCAGATACTATGTTTGACCTGTAGAAAGGTCTATTGCTTTCTTATGCCCTTTATCATCTTCCATATACTTTTTTAAATTAAATCATATAATCCTAATCAATAGCATTTCAAGCGTCATATTTCAATAATAGGATATTCTCAGTTTCAGTATTATGTCACTATGAAAGAAGAAAATAAGGCAGTTTTTGATCTAACAAGAAGTTTCTATCAAATGATGCTCTTGTATTGTGCCATGTAGAGTTATATTAAAATCTAATTCAACCGATTTAGTGAGACAAATCAATATATGTTCAATAAAAACTCCCAAGATTCTCATCGCGGAAACAAATGATATGCTCGGTATGCTATAGTTGTGACTTTGTACGAGAAAAATGTATTAAAATAAAAAATGACAACTATAAAATTGAAATACGAAAAAATGCTTAAGAAACTTAAGCAAAAGCTAGCCATAAGATTTTTTAAACAATTTTCAACTCTAATGAAGAACTTACAAAAATTTAAATTGAATTTCTGTCATTTATCAATAATAGCAACTTAGTCCGTACTACGGGATAATTTAAAATGACTGGTGTTATAGTTGCATTGAGCTGTAGCTTGACTGTTTTTCTATGAATCATCACTCAACAAAACAATTTCAGTGTGTAACATAAATAAACCAATCTTATTTCGTTTCTCGAGCCTCTATAATGGCGTCCATGTTTTCCCTTAATTCGTTAAAATCCCTTAAATGGTACCCATGCGTGTCGTTACATGTAACTTCATCGTGTCGTTGTGTCGACACATGTATCGATAACATGTCATATTGACATGAGCTTATATATTTTATGTTGGACCAACGCTGTAGTGTAGCGCCCCCAACTGTGTGAAACTAATTTTATTGGAAAAATAAAAACGCAGTTCGAAACAGAGAATTTGTTTTAAAGTATTTCTATCGCATTTTTATTTTCTGACGCTTTATAAAAATAAGATAGTGCATTTCAATATTCATGCAATGACTCATCAAGATATATCGGCACACTAAGTGATGAATCAGTCGATGGACTTTAACAAATAGAAAATTCCAAGTTGCACGTCGGAAGTAGAAAGTATATATATTTAACCGTGTAGCAAATATGGATACCGCAGATTTTCATCGACAATTGTAATGAATGTCGATAACAAACTGTTACCAAAGACACACGAGTCATTTCGTTTTGGCACTGGCCAGGTATTGACACTGACTGGGGACCAAATCAACAAAATACCTTATCTAACTGCATTTGTCTCTTCTGGTGATTTCTTTGAAGCTGCACGTGATGATCAAGGACATTTCATCATTCATCCAAATATCGACCTCAAGCAGTTTCGTTTCATCTTGGATTGGTTTCCATTCCGTTGCACACGAGATATTTTTATTCGTCTACCTAAAGACTACGATGCAGTGTCAACCATTGTTCTCATGGATTATCTTGGCCTCCTCAATCACTCAGATCCACATTTGGATGAAGTGGATTCATCTTTTTTCGATATCATCGTCTACAATCCTCTAACTGATTCATATGCCGAAATAATTCGACCGTCACAACTGTGTGATATGGCTGTTCGATTTGCCATTGCTCTCATTAGAGAAGCATATGATGTGACTGATGACAAAGTGCATGATCGAATCTATTGGTATGTGATGTTCATCATAAGTGCTCATAGATTATTTGATCGAATTATTCGTCATCATGTGTACAAGGTAGCTGAGCATTATTTTAGTTTGTTCAAGCCATGCCTGATTAAACGTTTGCATAGACTTCGAAGCATCCAAAATGAATACGTACAAATGAACCGATTAAAATCGAATGATCGATTTATCGATTCGAAGCATACAGAAGAGACGAACTTAACCTCGCTGATTGACACTCATATCTCCAACCAGTTATCTTATTCACCTTTTATCTCATGGTTGAATGTTGATCGCAGTTTCTACCATCATTCGGACAATGTAGACAACGATCTTTTTCCCCGAGAATGGAAAACTACTGCACGGAAACTTCTGGAACCATTGTACAAAGCTTTACTGGAAATTATCTATGATCGGCTGCAAAATCAAATATGCCATTGTGTACGGCATGATGTGCGTGAAGCTCCCTTTTCTTCACAATCACTTGATGAGTCTCTGGATGACAGCCTGCGATTTTCACGATTTGTTTATTGGTTAGACTATTTTGATTCTTTTGAGAGACGGGAGACCAGAAAAAAACGACGGATTGCTCGCAAAATTATAAAACAACGAATGATTTGGGAGTTGTTTGCAAATGAAGTTTCAACACAAGAAATACAACACCTGATCGTGGACGGCTTATCTCATATGAAGCCAACACTAGAACAGGAGTATCGTCGATTAATTCTTGAGATACAGGCGCTTCAAGCGGAGCGGGAGACAGAAGATGCAGATAATCTCTGGGGGCATTGGTTTTCGCTGTCACTGTCTTCTTTTAGATTTGAGAGAAAGCAGGAAGAAGCATTAGCATACGAGTTACTATTAGAGAAATTCAATCAATCATCGAGCATTGTTGCAGAAATATGTGAACATTTGGTTACAAAGTTGAATGAAGCTGCTGAGAATCAAGTCACCAGATGGATTCAAAACGTATATGCGGCATATGAACTTGGTCGAAATATTTCAGGATACATTCCCAAACATATTGAGTCTCCACTCCGCAAGATATTGCGACGAGATCATCGAAAGCCCGTATACAAGCCAACACCAGCCATACAACCGGGCTTTTCCAGAAATCCCTTTAATTAAATTTGTCTAAAACGATACACACTTGTGAATATACTTTCGATATAGAATAAACTTGCACTGGTTGCTGCCAGCGATTACTAAGAGTGTGAGACTGCTTTGATTGATTTAGTTTCCTAGGATTGAGATGTGATACACATTGAAGAATTCGGCTCAATAAAATGGTAGACTGTGAAAAAACTATGACTGATATCTATCTATATTTTGATGAATCGAAAATTTGTCCATGGCTCTCTCCAATCTTTCGTCATCTTCATGTACTGAGAATTGTTATAAAATGCTCACGATTCTAGAGAAAATGGAAGTTAATCTCTTCATCGATTGAATAACGGTATTGTGGACAACACCGAAACAATCAATTTATAAATGCTATATTTATTAAAACAACTTCATATATTAATATACCGGGTGGCCCAAAAGTAAGGAAAAATAGTATTTTTTTTTTCGATTTCTATCTTATAGATTGTTGCTTACGCCTGATATTTATAGCACATATACTAGGTGTGATAAATAAAAGATTGGGCATATGAACGATATGTAAATGTAGTAAATAATCTAAAAGCGTTCAAAAACAGAACGACTAACAAGAAGAAAAAACTTGTGAATTCCAATAAAACTTCTATTAGAAGTTCCAACTAAGAAAAAAAACATGTGCAAAAGTATGTCTTTGTGGAGTGTTCTTATTATGAAGTTCTTCAGAGAAATTGTTCAATATGTTTACCACCTAAGTCTTT